TGTTAACCAATGTCATAAAACAGCATGTGTGTTACTGTTACATGAGAAACTATCTGTTCTGTAAGCCTTCACCTGAAGTACAATAAAATATTAAAAAAAAAAAAAGTATGAACTAATAAGGACGAAAAAGAGAAAGTTGAGAAGAGTTGTCAACAAAATCTTGAAAAAGAGAGAAGTTTGAGTTGTAACTGACTTAGCAGAGAAGTTAAAACAAAATGGAAATGTCTTGGGTGGGGGGAGGTATAGAATACTAAATATAAGTAAAGCACAACACTTTAAGAGATCAGGGTATGCTGAATGTTGTGATCAGGAACAAGCTAGAAAATAGGGAGAATGGTTAAAGACTTCACGGACAGTACATGGATTTCCTCTTCTCCCCCCTTCCCACCAACTCCTCTCTTCCCTGAATAACCAGGTAATCACTCCCTCTACTTCACACCCCTCCCTCCACCAACCATACAGATTCAAGAGACAGGAGGTTTCTTTTCGGTGGCAGTTGAATCTGAGATACACTGAACTCAGTTACACCAGACAGAGCAGAGATCAGGGGTAACTATGGAGCTGAAAATATGGGAATTACATGAAAGTGGCTCAGCCTCTTCCCATGCCCTGCCTCAAAATGCTACAGCTGGGTGTGTACCACTCCTCCAATTTCCTACCCATGCAGGATTCTTCTCTAGACAAACTCACAGCTCAGAGAAAAGATCTCCACGTACTAATATTTGGAAGTTCCTAACCAGAATGAAGAGGATGAGCCAACAAGCCCCCCAACTACACATACACCTATCCAATAAACATGGACAGAGCTTCCATTATGGTCTAACACTTTACTCTAGAACCAATCAAAGAACAAGAGTCAGACCTAGGAATATAGAAGTAAGTTAACAATAATTTTTAAAATCCAAATAGAAGAATTGGAACATAAAATTAAGAAAATCTCTCTTGAAGAAAAAAAAGGCAAAGAGAAGAAAAGTTAAGAAAATTAGAGAATAAACTCAGGAGGTCCAACATCAGATGAATAGAAGTTCTGAAAACAGAAGACATGGGAATAAATCATTAAAGAAATAATAGAAGAACATTCTTAGTTCTGAAGCACATGTGTCTTCTATTGAAAGGACCCAACTAGCACTGAGCACAATAGATTTTTCTCCAAGGCACACCATCATGAAATGTCAGAACATTAGGGATAAGGAGAACAACCTGGAAGCTTCAAAGGAAGAGGCATCTGACCCACACAGAACTTCTCAACAGTAATGCTAGAAGTTACAAGACATCAGAAAATGCTTTCAAAATTCAAATGAAAAATTATTTCAGCATAAATTCTACCCAAGTAAACTAATAATCAATTGTGAAGCTAGAATAAGGCATTTTAGACATGCAATGACTCAAAAACCGTACCTCCTGTACCCTTTTTCTTAGGAAACCACTAGAGAGGGTACCTCAGAAAAATGAGGGAGTAAACAGAGAAAGAGGAAGATAAGGGACTAAAAATATCATGGATCTAACACAAGAGAATGGTGAAGAAACATTTCATAATTACAGCTCTGCACCAGACTTAGAGAGTAACCAGTCCAAGTTAGAGCAGAAAAAAGGGAGGGATATGTGTCTGCATGTGTGTGACTGTGTGTGTGTGTTTATGTGTGTGTGTGTGTGTTTGTGTGTGTGTGTGTGTGTGTGTCTGTGTGTGGGTGAGGAAGAGGGATTGGAGAGGTGAGTACAGGAAGGTCTTCAGAGGGGTAAAAGAACTTACAAGTTATCTGATATTCTTGAGCATTAATAAAAATTGGTAGAGCTTCATAGATCTTTTGGAGTATTCAACATGTGCCAGAGACCCATAGAAAACTAGACAAAAGGGGAAAAAAAAATCTGTTACTAATTCTTGGAAATCAAAGTTTTCCCATGAAAGGTCATATAATCAAAATATGTTACTTGAGTCATCAGTGAACAATGTTTACAAAGTGATATTAATGTAAACACTGATTATTAATTTAACAAAAAATGAAAATACTATAAATGTAAAGATGTGGTGAAGGAAAGTTACAAGGAGGTTAAGGCTCTTTATAAGTTTTTGAAATCCATGTTTCAATTAATTATTCTATGATTGGTAATTATTGTATGATTGGCTGCTAACCAAAAGTTGGAAGTTCGAATTTACCAGCCACTCCCTAGAAACAATATCAGGCAGTTCTGCTCTGTCCTATAAGGTCGCTATGAGTCAGAATCAACTCTATGGCAATGGATTTTTTGTTTTGTTTTGGTTTTTGGTAATATGTGCATATATGAACTGTCCACTAGTAAAATATGTGGTTAATCAGAATATCTTAAATAATAAACTTTATATTTAGCTAATTTTCTTTATTTTTTAATTATCAGGGTGATTCTGGAGGACCTTTAGTTGCAAAGGATCTTAAAGATACCTGGTATCTCCTTGGAATTGTGAGCTGGGGCGATAACTGTGGACAAAAGAACAAACCTGGAGTCTACACAAAAGTGACTTATTACCGAAAGTGGCTTGCTTCAAAAACAGGTCTCTAATTCACTATACAAGTTAAACAAAGAGAGCTGTATGCAGGTCATACATATATAAGAATTCAAGTATTTGGTGGATGTAATACAATAAAGTGTACTACAAAAAGAGTAAATGAATGGGCCCAGCAACACTTGACACATGACATGATTTATTTTAAAAGCACTTTAATCAACCAATAACTCACAGTCAATGTGTAACGGTGCACTGGTGGTGCAGTGCTTAAGAACTCGGCTGTTAACCAAAAAGTTGGCAGTAAAAGGGGTTTTCATTTGTAAAATAATGAGTCAGTTTAGCCTGACTTGACAAGTAAGTACGGATACTCCACTGTTCATATCATGTAAGCTGGAGTATAGATAAGGAGTCATACAGATTTTACGAGGATAACCAGTGAGATTTTGAGTGTCTTTGTCAGGGGTGTCCCCTTAAGTGAGAAATTTTTTAAAAATTATTTTTTCAAAGACTTCAGGAACCCCTTACATAATTTCTTATCATTTTTCCAGAACTCTCAAATACATTTTTCCCTTATTCTTGTAGATGTTCCAAAGAGATTTTTCTACCATAAGACATAAATTTGCTACTTCTAAACTCACTTAAGGGACATTCATAAAAGAAAGTTTTATCTAGAAAACATCCAGTGATAAACCAAGCCAGAGATCTTCTAAACTTTTTCAGTTATGATGCCTCTCTCTCTTTTTTTTTTTTTTTTTTTGGTGATTTTCAACACACACATATCCCTACGCTACAATATACCCAGAGAAAGCATGACTGGTGAATGAGTGTATGATGAATTAATTAAAAATTATTATTAATTTTTTTTAGAAAAAAATTTGGGAAGGTGATGTTACTTCACGAGCAGTCCCAGAACCAGGGCACAAGAACGGTATTTTATAGATGCATTTACACGTTTAGACCATCCCACAAAAAAAAAAAAAAACATTGCCATCGAGTGGATTCCGACTCACAGTGACCTTGTAAGATAGAGTGGAACTGCCCCATAGGGTTTCCAAGGCTGTAAATCCTGACGGAAGCATACCGCCACATCTTTCCCCGCAGCGCAGCTGGTGTGTTCGAACTGCTGACCTTTCAGTTAGCAGCTGAGACCTTTAACCACAGCACCACCAGGGCTCCTTGTTTAGACCACCAGAGGTAGATTTTATACATTACTATTGTAAGGCTAAATACCTAGAAAAATTTGACTGAGGATTTACAAAAATACTAGGAGAACAAAGAGCATTGTCTTTCTCCATAGGGGAAAAAAACAACAACTTTTATTCCCTTGTCTGGCTTGTGTCAGTAGCCTGACTGTTACAGTTATGAAATACTAGTTAAAATTTTTTTTTTAAAGATACAAATTCTGAGCATCTACCATGAAGAATGCAGTGAACGAAGTGGTCAGAAAGAGCAAGTATACCTCCTAAACAAAATGAAGTCATTCAGAGAACCAGGCTCATGCATCCCATGACACAATTAAATGAAGGCTCTGTGGAAGCTGTTACTCTGCTTGACAATGCTGTATAAATGTCAGGTTTAAAGGCTGGGGTATCTTTTACACATTGTAGTCCAAATACAAGCCAAACCATTGGCATAATGGAGTACTTCAAAATACTTTTCCCCACATAGTGCTACTGAGAAGGCAAGAAAATAGTCCTAAAATAATCTAAAAGAGATTTACAATTCATTCCAAAAAAGTGATCTGTACTTTAGACTCAGAATCTTAAGATTTGGAAGAGACCGTACAAATCATATACTTCAACGCATTGAGTTTATGGATAAGAGAACTAAAGCCAAGAAACTTAAATGACCTGATGAAGCTACTTAGGCAGTTAGTAACCCCAATGGGCCTAGGATCTAATTTCCAATCCACATACCCTCTTTCTTATACCTTTATCATTATATATATTATATAATATCTTTGTCTTCATTATATTTATTGAATCATCAGATCTATAAAAATTTCAGTGAGTGCTACTGAATCTGATTAACCTTAGGAAATTCTTAAGACCAGGATTTTAAATGATGTGATTTAATCAGGCAGCTGGCTGCCAAGTCTTTGAACTTACTTTAAGACAAAGCTGCTTTTTCATACATATAAATATACATAGGCATATAAAATATTCTGTATTATGGTGGTAAGATATGTGACTTTTAATGTTAAGATACAGGAAATGATCTTAGATTTATAAACTTTATATGATTAAACTGTTTTGTGCACTATTTCATTCTGGGCCACATATAAGCAAAGATTATATAAAATCATTCTCAATCTAATAATACAGTTGGTGATCAGTGCATACCACAAACAATGTCACTGAGTTTATGTTTATAACTAGTATGAATCTTTCTTTCAACTGTTGTAAGAATTACATTTCTTTAAAATAACTAGTTTGGGTCACTGGAAGAAGGGATTCTCCACCCTGGTGCTATTCACATTTTGGGCTGGATAATTCTTTGTTAGGGGGGCTGTCCTGTGCATTGTGGGATGTTTTTAGCAGCATCTCTGGCTTCTACCTACTAAATGCCTGTAGCACTTCCTTTCCTCCCAAATTGTGACAACAAAAAATGTCTCTACACATTGCCAAATGTCTCCTAGAGGGTAAAACTGCCCCCCAGTTGAGAACCACTTCTCTGAAAGCATTTGATCATTTTCAGAAATGCAAGAGACAGCTCAAAGGTTGGTTATTCAACATATATAGTGTTCTGATTAAGTTGAATATTTACTATCATACTCCTAAAAGAAATATCAGAATAAATGACTGGTATGTCAGTACAGTGATAATTTCAAATACAGATTTATCCTCCGACACAATGTGCTGAGAGGGCTGCTTACATACTCCTGCCTAAACTAGAGTATACTTACAGAGTACCATTAAATATCATCATGAAGACAGGTTTTGTAAATACACCCTTCCATTAGAATTTCTCTATCTTGACACAACACACAGTAAGAAATACATTTTAAATCACAACTCCATACGTACATATTAAAAGCTGAAACAGTAGACATCTGGCAACATGGCACTCTAGGCAGAAGCACCACGACCTCTCTCCACAGTAAAGATCTGAAAAACTAAGCTAAACAGAGAAAACAGCAATCCTGAAACCCTAAGCATCAAATGTAGAGATAAAGAACTCAGCTAAGCACCAAATGGAATAAGAAACTGAAGGAAAACAGAGAGCGAGGAGACATACATGCAGAGGTCCCCTATCAGCTAACGCAGTGTGGAACCACCATCTTGGACTCCTATGAGAGACCAGCGAACAGGCGGTACAAGAAAGCAGCTTCACAGAGCTTTCAGCAGGAGAGAGAATAGCCAGTAACCAACGATATACGCTTTCCCACCCCCACCCTTCTTCATCCCCACTCTGCCTCCTCTGCTTCCTGCAGCCACAGTCTCTTGGCTGGGAAGAACCAGTTGCTTGGATTCCACCAGCCTGTACTGGCTGACTCCCTGAGTGCCATTTGTTGGCTGCTGGTGTTGCTTTTAACAGCTTCTTTTCATTTCTTCCTTAGATCTCACCACCTCCCCCTCCTTTCACTCAAATACCTGGCTCCATGTGCCGTCTTTGCTTCTTCCTGAAAGGCTGTGAAACTCCGCTCGAATGTGAAACTGCTTCCTGGTCCATGCTGCCACGCAGGTGGGACCCCGAAGCTTTTGTTTATTTGTTTGTTTTGAATTGTTTGTGTTTTCTTTTTCTTTTCTCAAATCGGGAGCCTGTTCTGGCCAGGCAGTGCTGCGCGCCTTGCGACCTACCCCCTCAGCTTGCGCAGATGCGGAGAGGGATCCCTGAGAGCACTTCTTTTTCTGTGTTTTTTCTTTTTCTTTTTTCTTTTTTGCATTTTCTCGTTCTTTTTTTTAAAATTTGTTTTGTCTTCTTTTCCCTCTTTTTCCCTTTCTTCATTACTCAGTTTCTTGTCTCTCTATACCTTCCTTCTCCTCCTGTCCCCTGAATACCTGGTGCTGAGGGACATCTCAAAGCCTTCTAGCCAGGCTGTACTTCAACTCCTGGGAACAATTTACCCAGATCTCATAGCCGCACTAGTGGGATCCCTGGGAGCTTGCCTTTTTTCTTTCTAATTTTTAATTATTCATTCTTTTCTTTTTTTTCTTCCTCTTCTCCTTTTTGTTTTTCTCCATTTCATTGTCTCTCATCTCTCCAATCCAATGGCAAGCTCCCCTAGCACTCTTTTTTGTCTGTTTGCATGTTTTTGGCTCCTGTTCCTCTCTCCTCTCTCCCATACCCACCTTAGCTCCACACATCACAATCTCCCCACTCCATCCTGCCTACCTGCACTGTGCGCTTAATATCACACCAACGAGCAGTACAGGCACAGCCTACCGGAGCCTGCCCTGCACGGATTACCAGCCCGCCCTGGTGGATGTACTAAGTGCCACAAACAACCTATTCAAGCAACTCCTCTTTAGCTATACTTGCCCTGCTGTACCATAACTGAGCAAACTGACCCTGACAATTGGAGACGGAGGTGAAAAGTATAATGCCCACAGACGAGCAAACAACAAAGAACACACAGCACACCTGCTCAGACATAGCCAAATTTAAAAAAAAAAAAAAGGACAAAACAAACAAATCTACAATCAATAAACTAGAAAAATAACTACTGAATGCCCCCAAAACAGCAGACAATATCCAAACATTTACAAAAAGAGTACAGGATGGTTCGAGTAGGCGTACAAAATAAAACACCAGATGACTTTCCAGTAGAAGAAAAGGCACTAGAACTACCTGATAGGAAATTCAAATCTCTAATACTCAGGATTATCCAAGAGTTAAAGCAAAAAGCAGACAAAAAATGAGGAAAAAAGACAAAATCATGGGAATGGCAGAGAAATTCATGGAAAATACCGACCACAAAATGGAAAAATTCAGGAAAATAATACAGGAACAAAATGGCCAAAATAAATTCACAACTAGAAATTATACAAAAACAACAATTAGAAATCCAAAAGATAAACAACAAGATTTCAGAAATGGAGAGTGTCACAGAAGGACTGAGGAGTACATTAGAAATGGTGGAAGACAGGGTCAACAGAACTGAAGACAAACACTTGGATACAACTCTGTTTGAGGAAAACTCAGAAAAAAGAATGAAGAAAAATGAAGAGGCCCTGAGAATTATGTGGGATACAATCAAAATCAAAAATTTACGAGTGATCAGAGTTCCAGAACAGGGGGAGAAAACAGAAGACACAAAGAGGATCATTGAAGAATTGCTG